CATCCTATTATGGGACTCCTCAGCAGTGCGCATCCACGATCCAGCACTCGCGAAAATACTAAATCTCCACAAAACCCCTTCTGATTATAATCATATGTTCATTAGTGACTGACTTCGAGAGGTAAATCCAGGAGTTCTAGTGAGAAGCAGTGACCAGTGAAGTTCAAACCACGTATGTCATGAGATATCAACTCACTAAAGACAATTGGTGAACGGTTGCTCAACTTCGTGGATCAGTTGAAGTTAGACGTTAACACCATTGGATGCCGGCTCAGTGGTCTATCGGTTAAGTGCTCTGGCGCAAGACTGGTAGGTTCTGGGTTCGAATCTCGCGTGGCGGGGTCGTGGATGCGCGCTGCTGAGGAGTCCCACAATAGAACAGAACGGCCACCCAGTGCTTCCAGGTTTTCCTTGGTGGTCTAGCTTCAATTATCTCACGCTTTCAACAAATTTTAACAAGAAGTTTGTTTTACAGAACCTCATAGGTAAAGAATTTATCGATCTGTTATTTCCTTTGTTTAAAATCATGAGAAAAATATAGTTTACTTGACGGTTAACATAAATTAAAAGTGTATTTTATCGGTACATTTATTGTATAATAAATATTTCATTCATTATACTGTAGGTGGTAATGTGGTAGCGAACAATTGGACTTAATATTCGTTATAAAAAACTTAGTCTGGGAGCTGTATAATTAATTACTTTGATATGATTATTGACAGTAAATTCAGTCTAAACTATTATATAATCTTATATCAATCAAATAAACGAATATGAAATATCTGGACTATTTAGATTACATACAATAAGTCAGTCAGTTAGCTACAACGTAGAACCAGGTACATATATGCATCGGTTCATACCTCATACAATATGTGGAACTCAATCTATTATATTAATGAATTCAAATTCAAGTTCTGTTTATAATTCCAACTGATATGATGATCAAACCAATATATAAATTATAACGAAAAGTGAATTGGATTGAATAATACAATTGGTAAACAAATAACTTCACTCTCATTAGTACCTTATTCAATCTGAAATTACAATAGAAGAATGATTGGATAACTTGTACTTATTAGCTCAACGATGGAATAAGTTTATCTAGTTAGCAGTAATCAAGCAACAATTTACATTAAATCATATAGTAATGATATGAACTGGTATTTAGATAGAGAAGAAAAGATGAAGGCAATGTTACAGTTCTCAGTACTGGTTGAACTTATTACATAAAATAATGAAATATGTTATTTTCTTGTTGAAATACATCTGGGAAGAGTATCACGTTCATTTGCTTGGCTGTCAAACACTATGATTTGGTTTCGGTTATATCAATACCTGAAAACATTTGTGGACGTGTATTCTCTAGGGAAAATATTGAAATCTTCGACAAAGGGGATTACAAAGATAATCAGAGTTTTTTAAAAGCTTAACACTCAAATCAATCAGTGATTAATAAACAGGTAGAAGTTGGTCCAATTTTCTAACAATTTAGAAACATTATAAACAACTACCAAGTCAAGAATCTGGTCAATAGAGAACACATTCAAAGTAAATATTCAGACAATCACAGTAAAAAATATCTGCAACAAATCATAAAACTAAATATGAAATTTCCTTGAAAAAGCTTGGACCAGATTGCCGGGCGAAACGTTGGATTTACTTCAGATTCATTCGCTGAGATTTTACAAATGAATATTATTCATATTTAATGTCTGATATCAACTCGGCGCCTAAATACTGTGAAACTATTCGCCCTAATTCAGACGAAAATTCTTATATAAAACTAAATGTTGATAAAACAAACTGTTGGTCATATACGGAGGAATTAAAACAGTTCACTTCTATCTGAAGTCTGTGCTAATGATATTGTATACATAGACAATGAAAACCTATTGATTAAACCAGACAGCTCAGAGAATGTAAATCCACCAAAAATAAGTCTCATTATTTCTAATGTTCCTCGTCTCTCAATTGGGATTTAAACCCTTTTTTTCAACTTAAAGATGGTTAGGTCATATACTATATTAAAGTCTGTAGTCTTGTCAAGCTTAATAATCAATACAAATTTTCTAATCTTTGAAATTCTATCAACATGAAAACGAGGCTACTATCGAGTTCATGAAATTGATAAAATTTAAATAAAACCTAAGCAAACTGCAATTTACAGCATTTCATCCAACTAAACCGATCAATGGTATCTACCAATTCATCATTAATCAGTGTCATGCTTTACCTGTCTTTAGAAAATGGTTTTCTATATTCGTAGTTTCTCATCATAGACTGAACTTAGTTAGGTAACAATTGAGAAACAAGAGGCACCGAACAGATGTTTCATCCTAGCACAGGGCTCCACAGCAGTGTTCATCACCACAAAGAATAGAAATCAAGATCCTAAGGCCTCATGGAGAGACCAAGTAAGCACATGATAATTATTATTAAAAAGGTTTTTGAAGGTTGCTGAATTGGTAGTTCTGCATCATGGACTGAATTTAGTTTTTTAATCTCCTTTTCTACTTTATTACTGGCTTCGAAATGTTTTTCTGACCAACAGACAATGCTCCTAATAACTTACATCATTTCCGAAGTAGTTGATTATACAATATTTTTGGTATACATTTCTCCTCAGTCAATATTTTTGTACGTTCTACTGATCACTCCAACAGATTTTGATAATAATTCCAGGCTTTATGAAGGTGATACGATCGATCTAACAGAATGACACGAATTGGTCTATTGAATACAAATTAAACAAGTCTTCAGTATACAAAAGCCTGACCGACAGGTCAAGATAACAACCAGTAAATCGAAAGTACGCGCTTAAACATCTGTAAAACAAATATGAATATTATTGTCAACATCGTGTACTAATCTTAGTTAAACAAAAAGATTAGGCCTAAATGTTACTTATGAAATTCAAGAATGTCTACGAGCCACCTACAGAGTAAAATTTGGACATGTTAATGTGATAATAATATGAATGAGCAGTTAACCAACTTCATCAAGAACAGAGCATATGGTAATGAAGCGGTCAACAGAAGCTGTCTATAAACCAACTTTATGACTAAAAGATTATCATGAGCATTAATCTAAATTGTTAACCCTTCATTTGTAATTAAAGACAATTCATTGCCCCTATTTAGCTTCATTTAAGAGTATTAGTTTTATCCATTAATTATTACCAATATTCTTGAACTAACACCGTCCCTCTTATTTTTCGTCTTTATTTTATTTGACCTTATTTCATTGACATCTTTTACGTCCCTTATTTTGTTGTATAAAATTCTAGTTACAATGAAGCCTTTTGTAAGGTATGAAATTCAAACCACTGAATCCACTAAAAGGTGAATCAGCCAGTCAATCAAAAGGAACATGGAAACTGTCATGAATGTATATTGATAATATTGGTTTAACTAGAGAGTAAATTAAAATGATGAAGGGAAAATAATGTAAGCTGGAAAACGAAACATAAGAAATATAGTTCTAAGATTGAGGAGTGAAAATTTTGAAATGAAATTGGCCTCAAGATTTAGAGAATGATGAAAATGAATGCAAATCTACTAGTGGTGTTAGATTCGAACTGTGCCACCTCCAACCATAACTTGTGTTATAGATTCTAACAAAGAATTTCATACCTATCAACACAACTTGTTAGAATGCCAACTAGTTTATAGTTTAATATCATATCTTGACTTAATTGCCTATGGCTTTTGTTCTGACCTACTCCCATATAAGCCAGCAGTGGCTATGTGAAAAGTTGGCGGCTAGGTTTACGTTAAATTTGTTCCAACCACCCTGAAGGATCATTTTTAACTGATCTCGGGCATTTTTTCTGTGATTACATTTCCGGGTTAAAAAAGCAATACCATTTATGCTTCTTTTTAGTTTTTTCCGAGGACAAATTCATTTTCGATTTGTAAAAAGGGTTATCAATATACACGGCCCCAACTTCTTCGTTAATAATCTCCTTCATTATTACCCTTTAAATTTGCTTCCGTTATCCATAGCTCCTTTCACACCGACCGATTGTTTTCATCGTATATTCAACTAGAATGAAAGATTATAGCTAACGAAATGAAATTCGGATACTAATAGCCATTACATTACATGTACAACTCAAACTAATACACAAGAACCAACGTTTTTGGTGAGTTATTTAGTTTGTAGTGTAATAGTTTGATCACCTTTTCATAGACACAGGTCGATAAGTAAAGCTTTGGCTTGGTTGGTATGAGTAGTATTTCGAACGGTTTACATAATGCTATTTCGGTTACAGTAGCAAAGACATGAAAGAAGTTTGGTAATATATCATAGTCATTGCCTAGTAGGTGTAATAACCCGTAGTCTTGCCAATGAGAATCTCATAAAATGTAGAAATAAATGCATGCACTACAGTCTATATTTTATTTACATAGTTCGCAATATTTTCGAGTACGCACGCTTGCGGAAAACTACAAACTGACTGGATTGTCTAACATTCTATCGGATAATTAAGTGTCAGACGTTATGGAATGAATTTTTAAAAAAAGATTAAAATGTCTACATCATCAAAATATCTATTTATATTTAGCAATAATAATCACATCAACATAATGCTATTTCTCTGAACCCCCCTTGAGGATGAAACAACACAAACAAACCAATAGACGGAAAACGGAAAGAAAATGACTAAAAGTAAATGTAATTTGTACACATGGATTAAAAGCAGTCTGAACGGTAAGATAGAGGAAAGAAAAGATAAAAACAATGTTTAATTATACAGGTAAGATGATGTAAGAGATAATCATTTCTTTATACAAAGTTTTGTGCATGGTAAGCGGGGAAATTTATGTAAACTAAACAATTATCGCTGTAAACTAGTGTTATCGGCGGTGAACAAACTGATCCACTGTGTGGACACTTGATCATCATCACAGGAAGCGGATGAATAAAGCATGGAGAATTTTAAACATTTCTTATGTAGCACTACTACTTCACAGCAATAGTAATACTTTGACTTATCTAGTATTCTCCTGTACATTTGATCGTCCATTTGTAGTATTAACTGTTGTTGTGTATGTCAAACCAGTGGAATCAGGAATCCATTTGGAACTGGCAGTTACACACAATTTTTCCATGGGTAAAATTTCAATATTATGAACACTGTTACCACCACTAGTCTCGCCAAAATCAGATCCTAAAGGTTTTGTTGGTGCTTTTAACCGCCATTTGAAATATTCATAAACTGACCAGGATAAAGCAGTGCCGGGAACAGCTGTTAGGATTCGAGCACTTATACCTCTAGTGAATCCTCTTAAACCAGTCATTTGGTATACATATATCGCTGTGCCAAACAACCCTCGGAATTCAGGTTTAGATGACTGTGTGAAGTGACCAAAACATATATTTTTTTGAACACACCGATCCTATGAGTGGTTGTAAACAAAAAGCGAAACCAGAAAACAGAAACGAATTGTAGAACATATGAAAAACGCTTCATATTGAAATATCACTGAACACCTCGGATCAGTTTTTAACTCAGCTTTGAGCTACTCAATTTGTGTGAGGATTACTGATACTACTGATATACAAATTGGAGCGAGTGGAGCGAGGTTCAAAACTACGAAATATTGTTTAAAAGTCAATTGACTTAATCATTCAACCACTTTTCTTACTCACCAGAAAGATAAACCCAACTAAAATTTACAATTCCCGAGTGCCATTAACATCGGGTGAAAATATCAGGTACTAGTGAGGAGGAATGAATAATAAAATTCTAAAAAGAGATTCTTTAGAAATTTATATAATGTAATTGGAGAATAAGACTTAACGATTGGGTACAACATTATGAATTGTTGGATACTGGCGAATGTCGAGAATCCAAATCGATTATAGAGATCACTCGGTCACAAGTCAGGAATCTTATAAGAACAGAATGCTACTTAAAATTTTCAGGTAACAATGAAGCTATTGATAAATGGAAATAAATTGTAAATGATTCTACAACAGATGTCAATTTAGGAAATAAAGGAATTTCCATTTTTGTCGCAACACAATAATATGATGACCTATTGTTTGAAATAACGGTCAATTTGTTAGTTTCCCACAATTAATGAAAATTTTGGTTTACATTTTATAAATGTATAGTGTTAAGTGCCTTAACGTCTGTATATTATAGTAAAAATTTGTGGTATATGAAAATACTAGTTCAAAATATACTGTAAGAAACACAGTGTATTCAAACAGAAATATTCATGCATTTACCTGTGTATTTAGTAGAGTTTTACAAACATCTAACGGGTTTGTGAAAGCAGCAGCAAAACAACCAGCTATACCTCCGGATACAACATGAGTCCATGGTAGATACTGACGATTTGGATTTATTAAACTCTGAGCATGCTCATAACAAACAAAATGAATTGTCTGATAAGGTATATTCATGGATAACTGTGTAAAATAAGCTCTGTACAATACACCGAGTCCTTCTGTTAAACACACTCGACGGAGACAATCAAAAGTGTTGTGGTAAGGACTATTGTAAAGTTGCAGACGTTGCTTTACAGCTGTGTTATTTGAAAAGTGAACAAAAGCGGGAAGACAGAATTTATCGATTACGTAGTAAACATTTATTGCTATTCAATTATATGTTGATTTCAATATAATGAATCTAACTAAACAAAGTTAAATAATTTGTCAGAAAATATTAACAAGATATTAGTGATTCACTCTGCAAAACAATGCATATAATTCAACATAAGAATAACTTAAAGTGACAAGTGATCTATAATCACAAGTTTGGTTTAAGAGATATAAAGCGTAAATGGAGTTTCATAACTCAACATTTAATGTCGTTTAGTAAACAACGTAATCTAATGAAAATAAGACTTCAACTGAGTGATTGTATTAAACCATCAAAGGTTCTTAGTTGAAGGATATAGCTCCAATTATTATTCATTGAACAAGCAATCCTAAGACGATAATGACTAACGATGAGAAATGTATGAAAATGTACTAACCTTTCTGCCCCTATTTCATAGATCTTTTGTCAACATATTCAATAACTCAGATTACTTTAAGTTACAACTAATCTTTCAATAACAACTAAATCTATTAGTTATCATATGTCTAGAAGCTCCAAGGTTAAGCTATTTTATTGCCTGGTCCTTCACGGTCTGATGTGATATTGTCATACTAATTTTGCCGTTCGTTTCCGTTTTTACTTGGTAACACTGTGTTAATGTGAAAACCCTGAACAAGGTAAATTTATTTGTATTTGCCAAATGGTGAAAAATGATACTAGACACTTCTTAACGATGTGATATCACATGAAGTACAGTATTAAAAGAACTAATTTTTAATAATATATCTTTAACGTGGCCTCTTGAAGATTTAATAATTTCGTGTTTAGTCGTTAGAATAAATGAATAACAGTAATGATGTAAAAAGACGGAATATAAAGTTTGTCCTTGATCTTTGTGGTAAATTCATGTAGTACCTCATGTGGCATTATTTGACACAATTTCAAGACACGGAAAAAAAACATAGAAACAGAGTAAGTTCTTTTTCATACTTTTAATTTATGAGGACAATTAGTAAGGTTTTTAACTATAGAACTGTTTTTTTCTTTTAGAAAATCTACGCTTCATGGATGATTTTTTTATATGACTAAGTTTAGTGGTTAGTATCTTTAGTACGTGTGATGCATGGATACACTTAAACGACAAAGGATACTTCCTATATAGTATTTGCTTACTTACCATCTGCAGGAGTCATAATAGCATCGTGTAGTAAAGTTGCACAAGTCCCAGCTATCATGTGATTTATATGGGTCGATCCTATGGGGGCTATAGCTAAGGTTGACTTCATTTTTTCATAGCATCCAAAGTAAGCGGCATGTGCCGGACCAGCACCCCAGATCACTGCACCACTACCTTTTAGCGACCCTGATACTCCTTCCTGAAGGATTAGACGATACAGACCAGTTAGTAAACCTGGGTAATTAGAACTACCAACAGGCCTTAGACACTGCATTCGAGTCTTGAACAAAGAGTTAAAAATTGAATTAACAAAACTCACTTTAACACAGTCGACAGGATACATGACAATATGTTCCATTATACCTGCACATGCACCTGCAAACATGTGTTGTGGCAGTGGACTAGTACTGGGTAAGGACTCATAATCATCGGAATCCTGAAAAGTAGAAGATACACGTGTGCTTATCGAACTAAAAACAGACAAGAAGACAGGCAGCCACCTCTGATTAAACATGAAGTGGTCATCCGATATGACAATCAAGTGGTGCATTAAAACCTTCATGTTCAGTACAATTCAATGCAAAGGTTAATGTGTAATCAGGTTGCTGTCAATCAGCAATTGATTATAAGATCAGAACATATTATGGCTGATCACTAAAACTGGATATACTCTGGTCCTTCGTGAACTAAGAATTGAAGGAACTACAAAGGTTTTTGATAAAATACTCTATATCAACAATAACATCGAAGTATACAAGTAATATGCAGAAACGATGTTTTTTTCTACCAAAGAAGCAGTGCAAATATCGAGTGATTATCATTCTGTTACTACCCTTAATAATAAACACAATTTACTCGTACGAAATTCCAAAGTCGTTCCCAACCGAAATTAAACTGAGAATGTAAGATAAATGAGGACGATTTGTCGATAGAATGTTCATAATCTACGTAATGTTTGATTCCAACATTACAACTCTAGGAAGCTACTCACAACTTAAGTATACAAACGATACAATCTAATGTTAAAGCTATCCTTTCATATGCTTATTTCTTTAGACACAATATATCTGGCAAGAGAACGAAATAATGCACGACTTGGATTATCAAGCTTCAGTCTTCAGTAATAAGGATAGTAGGTTGATGAACCTGTGTTAATCCTGACAGATTTCCTTCCAGTGAAGGTCCAGCTTCTTTTTGAAAATGTTCACTGATGGTGCTGATACCACTTGTTCTGGTAAAGCGTTCCAGTCATTGACCACTCGATGAGAAAAACGGGACCCCACCTTTAGTTTATTAGATTGCGGTTTCAGAACCTTCTTGCTATGACCCCGGAGATTATTAGTGCTGGAGGGAGCAAAAAGGTAGGACATATTAACACCCAGATCATAATTAAAGATACGAAATGCCAGTATAAGGTCACCTCGCGTCCTACGATAAGATAAGGGGAAAAGATTTAGACGTTTTAAACGCTCAACGTAAGGGAGTTTGGAAAGACCCTTTACTAATTTTGTCCCTACACGCTGGACACGCTCAAGCGATTTAGTATCCTTTATCAGACAAGGGCTAGCTGCTTGGATACAGTATTCTAAGTGTGGCCTTACATAGGTGGGATATAAAATTCGAAACATATCCTCGTCAAAGCATTTAAATGCTCTGCGAAGCGACCATAGCGCGCGATAGCCTTTGGAAGCAACCGCACTGCAGTGCGTTGTAGTTTATAAGTTGTGACTTATAATTACTCCTAAGCCTTTATGCGCATGAACGCGTGGCAGAGATGTACCATTAATGGTATAGTGGTAACTAATATCGTGCCCGATGTGTATGAACACGCTCTTCCTAGAATTAACTTCCAGGCCCCAATCATGAGCCCACCTAACTAATTCGTCTAAATCTGCCTGTAGATAACAACGATCAGTCTCATTTCTTATTGTTCTCCAGATTTTAACATCATCCGCAAACAATAACGTCGACGACTTAAGTAATAAAGGTAGTTCATTAATATACAGAAGGAAAAGTAAAGGGCCCAAGATGGTGCCTTGGGGTACACCACTTTTGACCGGTTTCCATTCGGATAGAGTTCCATTGACTCTCACTTTCTGTCTGCGGTCACATAAGAAGCTTCCTATCCATTCCTGTATAGCACCTGTTATACCAAAGCTCGAGAGCTTTTGCATAAGACCTAAGTGTGAAACCTTACCAAACGCTTTGCTAAAATCTATAAATATCACGTCGACAGACTGGCCGTTGTCTAGTGCAGCTGTCCAATCCTCTCTCGCAATGAGTAAGTTAGTCAAGCATGAATGCTTGTTACGAAACCCATGTTACTCGGGAGTTAACAGATTGTACGATTCTATGTGGCTCAGTAGCTTAGCCCGAATTAACTTTTCAAGTAACTTAACTACTATACTGGTCAGGCTAACAGGCCGGTAGTTAGATACTATCCGTCTCTGACCATCCTTAAATATAGGACTAACTATGGCGTCTTTCCAGTCTCTAGGTAGTTGAGCCTGTGAAAGGGACATGTTGAAGAGCATCGTGAGCGGTCTTGAGATAATGTCCGCAAGCGACGACAGCAAACGTGGGTGTAACCCATCGGGGCCCGGTATCTTACAAGGTTTTAGGTTAGTTATCAAAGGAAGAACTATATCCTCTGTCACGTGTAAAGGTCCTGTGGCTGGTATCTCATTGTCAACGGGACAAGTAGTTGTAACACTACACGTAGAGTAGACTTCACTGAAATAGTTAGCAAATAACTCCGCTTTCGCCAGATCAGATTCAGCCAATAAAGCTGAATTTTCGCTTAACAGTAATGAGGGGATACCATCACTACGTTTCGTCCGCCTTTTAACGTACGAAAACAGTCGCTTCGGACAGGTACGGCTATCGTATGCCAACTGTCGTTCGTAAGCCGTGCGGGATTTAGCTATGGTCTTTTTACATATATTCCGGATTTTTTTATATTCGCACTTAAATGATGCCTGACCTGTTGACAAGAATAAGTCCCAGAAGTGTTTCCTACGCTTCAACAGCTTCCGGGTTTCCTTATTAATCCATGGAGGGCAATATGATAACTTACGTGCTGACCATGGGATAAACGGTTGAGTTACGGATTCGAACGTAGACTTAAACCTATTCCATGCATCATCAATCGATCCATCAGCATCGACCGACCAGTCAATTGAGATAGCATAGTCCCTGATTGCCGGAATATTAGCTCTCCAGATATTAGGACGGGGTGGAGCTGATGCAAATTCTATACCATGTATCCGGAACTTAAAGGAAAGTACGACATGGTCACTATTCACCAGTGGGGGAAGATGTTGAATGTCAACGATATCTTCACAGTGGTGTGTGAGGACAAGGTCTATCAATGACGGATTATGTTCCAAGTCTATATGTGTTGGCTTAACGATACATTGTACAAGTGCACATTGAATAATTGATGACAGAAGGACGCTATCGAAACCCCCACCTGGAGCTGTGAGCTCTATCCAGTTTATATGGGGTGCATTGAAATCTCCAACGATGAGACAACATTCTGCTTTACTCCAAGAACAGACGTGTTTTAGGATAAAGTCGTCAGCGAGACAACACGGACTACGATATATTCCTCCTATCGTCACTAACCCGTTTCTAGACCTAATTGTACAACATACTACCTCACACGTACCACTTACATGCGCCTCCGATATGATCGAGTTAATGCGGAAGTGGTCCCTAATATATAATATTATGCCTCCTCCCTTGCGACTTCTAACTCTATCACTTCTGACACAGATGTAGCCTGAAATGACTGGAGAACAGTCTATATCTACAGTGAGCCAAGTTTCGGTGATAACAATTATATCCGGATTTAAGTCGTCTACCATCAAACTTAGTTCAGACATCTTATTCCGAAGACTACGAGCATTCGTATAACACACATTTAGGGTGTTTTTGGAGACATGCGTTCTACCCACACAGGTCTCGGAAGCATTGGCTTCCAAGACCTGACTACCCGAAAACCCTTAATCGTAAGGTTCGCTTCACCGTTTAGCCTTCGAGTTTTTAACTCTGTTAGGGCATTCTTCCACTTGATCCGATCCTCAAGTGGCCAGTCAGGTCGAATACGAATGTTTGAGTCACGAGTTTTGCGTGAGTTATTTAGTAATACGTCCCGTTCCTCAAAATTACCGAGTACTAATTTGAGGATCCTTCTCTGTTGGGTTTCGCCTCCAACATACTTACCAAGTCTGATGACTTTCGAGATATGTACCCCTGGGACCTCCTCTGGCAGTATATTTCTGATGAGAGATCCCACTAACTGCAGGTCGTGGGCATTTCTCTTAGCGGGATCAGTGTCTTTCGATTCTGCCAAGTTCCAGATGATTACACTAGGCATCTGTTTAACTGCCTTAAACGTCGTGTTCACGGCCTTTGACCGTGATGTCAGATCCTGCCGGTTAGCTACCGGCTTCTTGCTATTAGCTTTCTTTATGACAGTGTCATGTGGGTCAAGCGAGTTACTCCCAACAACATTTGGTGAAGTTAGACTATTTCCATCCACAACAGTATTAATTATTTCCTTACATTTGGACTTGAGCGGAGTTGCCTGATGCTCAGGACGTGAGTCCAACGATGACTTACCGACTATACGCGCGCTTTCTTTGGGTGTTTTTCCGTCTCTTTTGCGTTTCCGCGTAATCCATTTGCCACTATTCTCAGCATCCAGATTGGAACTATTCTGGACGATAGTGGTTCTAGCCGGGTCCTCAGTCGCTGCTAAAGCGACTGGTCCCTCAGTACTTAATGGCATGGCTTTCATTGGTTGTACCGGAGTACAAATTTTTGCTTCCTGTTGAAAAATTGGGTGTCTGGTACCTGCCATGGCAGCATTTACGACACTGATACAATCTTCATTATCAGTATCTATGTTGCCGGCACGGCCTACTTCGACCTTTTTAGCTAACGCTAGAAGGCTGATGGCTTCCTGAATGAGTAATGTCTTACTTGAGCAACAAAACATACAGAGCCAATGAGAATTTGGTTTCGAGCACCTTTTATAGGCAGCAGGGCTTAAGCGGGTGCACATTTTATGAAACCACTTCTTACAATCGTCACATTGCATCCCTTCTTCCACGGGGAATAGGCAATATGGCTGTCCACACTTGTGTACAGAGCCGACCATCTTAGAATAAAACAAAATGATAGGCAAGGTAGATATGTAAGATAAATCACAACCTTATCAAATAAACAAGCCTCAGTCGACCAAGAATGCTTTGATGCAGTAAATACACAAAAGCAGAATCAAAACACACAAATACAATGTCACGTTAACTGAAATAAATTCAATTAAAGTGTAAACGGTAGTTTTGATACGTAATTTACGATCAAAACAGTGAACTTGATCCAGATTAGTAAGAAACTCATAAGACAGAAGAAAAAGCATCCGTTCCACTCTCTCCAATGAGTACACCAACGCCAGGAACGTTACTATGGACGGCCTGGCAAATCCCATTATTACGTCATATTATGTGCTGAATAAATCCACGGTGTCTCACAGGATTTTTCCTCAGAGCTCCAAATCCTTTCAGCGACCTTTCCTTCAGTTTCATCACTGGCGGCCTTGAAAACCTGTACGTCTGTTGTAATAAGCTACTCGTTGAAATAAGTCAGCGAATATTAAAAGTTCAGTCACGCAGTGTGGTCAAGAGAGCAGGATTCACGAGTCTTGCGTCTATTTGGGCGAAAAGTAGACAATTCAGCGACATTTAAAACACAGAGCGACATAAAGGAGAAAATCCGCATTGTTTCCCGGACAGGAGAAAAAGAAGACATTTTGGAGCGTTTTCTCATTGTTTTTCAATGCATTTTTCCTTTTGTTCGCCTTTATTGATAGTTTGGGCAATGAAGTATGCTACATTAAAGACAATTTCTGTCTCGGCGTAGCCTGGCAGTTTAGCATGACTTTCCTTAGTTTGGAAGCATTGTTATTTGTGACACAAATGTTACTTAATCATGCCTCAAACATCTCTAATAGAAATCCTCTAAAACGTATGGCGCTACTAAGATTGATAGATCCCAAGTAAGGTACAGATCCGAAAACTTTGCGGAACAGTGCATTTTTGTGCAAAAACATTTAGGACGTTTACAAGCATCTACAACTACCTATGTACAAGAAATTACCTCATCCACCATAATCGTAACAAAACATGCGGATGTAGCGGAGGAATCGTCTTTCGCTCATCCGACCTAACAGATAATACAGTTTTCGTTTGTAAGGTCGAATAACCAAGGATGTACTTAATAAAAAAAGAGACTGATGTTTTATCTACTCTTCTTTCAATTACATCTGCGAGATGACTGATTGTCATATTTCGAAGAAGCCAGTTCTCAGTCACTCCAATTCCTCATAGTCTTCATTAATCATACGGAATAGTAGGCCGTTTAATCTGTGTTAATTATTTCAGCTTGCTTAACACTTGAGATTCAGCTTCTTCTTTAAAGTATTCACTGACAGAATCAATACCACTTGTTTGGATGGAGCACCCCGATCATTACCCACTAAACGAGAAAAACAGAATCCCATTCTTAGTTTACTTGATCGCGGTTTTTGAATCTTCTAAAGGCGACCAAGAAGATTATCAGTTATGGAGGGAACAAAAATATATGACACGCTCATACCCAAGTTATTATTTAACACACGGAATGCCAATATAAGGTCACTTCGACTTCTGATATAAGGGGAAAAAGTTTAAGCTTCCTAAGAGCTCATTATAGGGGAGCTTGGAAAGACCCGTCACTAACCTTATTTTCACATGTTGCAGACTCATTCTTGACAAGACAAAGGCTGTCTGTTTGGAGGGGTACATTGAGTTAGATCTCACATAGGTGAATTATAAAGCCCGAAACACCTTTGCTAAAGCGTTTGAGTGCTCAACAAAGTCACTATAACACTCAAAAACCACTGACAGCTGCCTCATTGCGATTATTATTTATATTATTATTAATGGCTTTGTTCAACATTTTAATGATTAGTTGCTATGACGTCATGAATTACTGTTAAACCTAAGTCTTTTTGTTCCAGCACTCTTGAAAGCGATGTACCCTCGACAACAAACTGGTAACCAATGTCTTGTCCGATATGCATTAGCACACTTTCTTGGACTAATTTCCAAATCCCAATGTTAAGACCACCTAGCCGGCTCGTCACGATCAACATGATGATCATGATGGTCAGCCCTACTGCTTATTGTTCTACAGGTTTTGATATCTATCGGCAAGCAACAGGAAGTCTTAGTAATTAATTAACGTAGAAAAGAAAGAAAATAAAGGGCATAGTAGGGGACCTTGAGGTACATCATTTTTAACCGCTTTCTTTTCACGTAGTGTCCCATTTACCCTCACCTTTTAGCTCCGACCACAGTAGAACTTTCCTATACAATGTTGCATGATATCTATTATTCCAAAGCACCAGAGCCCCTGCATAAGCCTTAAGTGAGACACCTTACGAAATGCCTTGCTAAAATCCATGATTATCAGTCGCCATTCTGGACTATTGTCCAACCCTTTCTCTTAGTTAATAATTTTGTTAAGCACAGAGACTTATTTCGAAACCTATGTCTCTCCGGTGTTGGCCGGTTGTGTAATTCTACGTCACCTAGTGACTTAAACAGGAGTATTATCTCAAATATCTTAACTACTTTTCTAATTCGACTAATAGATCGGTAGTTAGACACGATCTGTATCTTTATGTACCTAAATACGGGGCTAACTATAGCATCCTCCTAATCCCTAAGGTATTGATTCTAGGGAAATGGCATGCTAAACAGCACCGTGACTGGTTCTGAAACAATGTCCGGGTGATATGTAAGCAACCGTGGTGGTAGCCTATCAGGACCAAATGGCTTACTAGATTTAAGGCTAACAAGCAACCGAAGGATGGCTTCCTCAATCACATATACAGGTCCTATAAGTGAAATCTCAATAGTGTGGCTATCGGAAGTTCTGATAACAGTATCCTTAGAATAAGCATCTTAGAAATAGCTCAGTAAAATCCCAAGTTTTGCCACATGTGATCCCTCCAGTATACCTCAATTCTTGAGCAACAGCAATAGGATAACCCCATCAGTACGCCTCCTTGTTTGCTTGATGTACGAAAACAATCGATTTGACAAAGGACGTCCATCGCGTACCTACTGTCTTTTGTAAGTAGTGTGACACCTAAGTATCGCCTTCTTGCGTGCATTACGGATTATTCGTATTCATAGATCTTTGAAAAGGATGAGATAGCACCAGTTTATTCACAGTTAAAACAATAAATATCACTGTTGGTAAAAATGAATCTCATTCGATTTCCATCATTAACGAACGTTTAAATACATGCTTGTTTTTCGTTTCCAAATTCTCTGGTGCTGTCAGATGCAAACTCCATATTTTCGCCTTTACATCCTTAATCAGCAGTAACGAGAGGTGACTTAGTCGTTTGAAGACAATTAAAGTCTTGAGAAGATACTTTGAACTAGAACGTTATTGGGGTTAGATTCCCTATTACTTACCTTTATAACTTCGTAAGGTTAGGGGAAAAGACAATTCAACTGTGGCAACAAGGTAAATCTTCAATTTCAGCTTGCGTCTATGTTACGATTAAAAACGTTTTGCACATATTCTTAAAGTTAGCCCACAATTTTACAAAGTTTCATGTTCCTTGTTACGACCATCACTCGTTTTGATGAATCTTCATTTCTTGTTCTTCTATATATTTTTACACGTATTTGCCACGGAACATAGCTTAGATGAATGAATTAAGCTATATAAGCATCATACATTGAGGGTCGCAATGTAAGGAATATCCTTGGGAGTTGACCTCAAGATAGTTCATGACACCCCTATAGTTAAGACAGCCTACGCTTTACGGAATGATGTTTCGACTGAGACACTTACTGAACTAGTTAACAGTTTATACATTGAACGCGTTAGGAGTAATCAGTTAACAGTGTAAACCCTGTAGACATCTGGCTCTCTGAAAAGTATATTTCAGGGGTAAATCATTGAAAATGACTTGATAGTTGAGGTATGGATAATTTGTACACCTTTTCAGACGAATTTTCGCCGCTCGATATAGGCTTTTTAAAGAGATACATTACTTGCCTGACCTATACATTGTTGAGTCGTTGCATTAGGTGATCGAAGTATCGATCGGATTTATTGTGCGAGTTAGTTATATTCCACTGTAACTTGCTTAGGGTGATCAGTCAATTGTCCTGTTCATGCGACTCCCTATAGAACATGTTTCATGCCAAGGTTCCATCATGAATGAGGACTGTCAAAATACTGACATGGAACCACACATTAAATTGTTTATTCCTAGTGACCACAGACCCTCAGTTATAACTATTTCAGCAGCCAGTGTATTTAACTTGATTTTTGTCAGAGTTGTCACTCTTGCCTGGATATGAACCATTTTAAGGTTGATCTAATAAGAATTATGAATTAGAGGCTATCACCTTGTTGAGGTCAAACCAAGAGGCCAGTGTTTCAATTGAGGATACCACGGATATTCTAGTTTGACAACTAGCAACCAGTAGTATTTTCTATAATCGTTCTTTCCCCAGTCCAGTAGAAACCAGAAGTCAGACGAGGGGAGGTAGGAAAGATATATTTGATGCGTTACCAATATATCGAGGAACATTTACTATAAGCTGGCTAATGAACGTAGGAGCTGTGTCCCACGCCGAGTTGAAACGTGATCTGGTACGGATGCATGACCGAAAGCCTTCAGTTAAACAGGTCCACTTAAACAACGTGGTCAGCATCCAATGTCGAACACTTAATGAGTTATATTAATTATAGAAGGGGTTTTGTGGAGATTTAGTATTTATTATAGTTGAAAGCGTGAGTCATTTGAAGCTAGACCACCATGGAAAGCCTAAAAAAAATATTTTTATAATAAACTATGGAAGGGTAATTCAAGATTAAGCTTATGTCCTACGTGCAATATTCGTTAAGATGTTCTGGAAATCTTACTCGTCTTCCAGAACGCGTTGTTTTAGGTTTATCTATCGATGTTGAAGAAGTATCAAGTTGTGTGTCAGTTGTCGTGTAGGGTACTACGAGTGTAGTGACTGTGTCGTTTGCTTGTACCGAAGAAAAATCGACGTAGCTAGGGTTTCCTTCTAAGTACACTGCTTTGAGGCGATCGATACTGATGCTATCGTTCGTACCGTTCTTATCTACTACATAGTACTTAGGTTCGCGTTGAAGAACTTTGAAGGGTCCTTCGTATGCTGATTCGAGGGGTCGTCGATGTGAATCTCGACGAACGAAGACGTGTGTACTATGTCGTAATTCGGGTTGAACGAAAACATCAGTTGATTGAGGTCGAGTGTGAGCAGGTTTAACTGAACGCATAGCGTTTGTAAGCCTACTCATGTAAGAGTTTAGATCCATGTTCAATGAAGAAGCTGAAGGATCTACGAATTCTCCTGGGAGTCGGAGTGTCGTTCCGTAAACGAGTTGAGATGCCGTGTATTCAATGTCAGCTTTCACTGCATTGCGGATACCTAGCAAGACGAGTGGAAGAGCGTCTGTCCACTGTGAAGCTTTTAGTTGTCGATGAGAACGTTCTACCAACCCGTTTGCTTGTGGGTGGTAGGCGGTCGTTCGGAAGCGCGTCATTCCTAAAAGTGAGGTGAGACAACGGAAAAGTCCAGATTCGAACTGGCGTCCGCGGTCTGCAGTGATGGTTGAGGGGCAGCCGAAATTTGCTACCCATCGTTCGACGAAAGCGCGGGCCACGGTTTCAGCAGTAATGTCCTTATTCGGTACTGCTTCTGACTATCGAGTAAAACGGTCTACGCATGTTGGGAGATATGAGTATCCGTTTGAGTCGGGTAAGGGTCCTACCAAATCTAGATGGACGTGGTCGAAACGAGCGTCAGGGGTTTTGAAAGAGCATTTGTTGTGTCATATGACCTTAGATTTCTGACAGCTTACACAGGAGCGTGCCCACTCCCTCACGTCTTTGTTCATGCCAGGCCAACAAAAGCGTTCGGCTATAAGTTTGACAGTTGTACAAGCACCTGGATGAGAAAGATTGTGCAACGTATTGAAGACGTTGCGTCGATAATGTTTTGGTACTATTGGACGATCCCTACCTGTAGATGTGTCACAGAGTAAGGTTTCCTTACCTGTTCCCATCTGCCTAAT